TCTTTGTTCATGTAACATGCACAGCCAAAAGCTCCAACTTGTATTGGCTTGATTTTCCTGCAGGGACTCCATTAGACTGGGGGCCAAAATGAGAGAATGAGGACCTGTGATCCCACCCTTTCATTTGGGAAGTATATTTTGTGCCTAAACAAGAAGGTAAGGTAGGCAGAGCTGACTATTTCTAAATGAACAATTAAATGAACTCTTCCACCTGAAGAGGAAGAATTAATCTGGGGCTGCTATTACAATGTCCACCTGGGAAAAAAAATAAGAAGAGGATTCTACACCACAAGGCAATCTGCTAATAGAGTGATCAGCATGCAGAGGGAGAGAACCAGAGATGGGCATGGGCTTTGTAAGCAGCCTTGGCTTTGCCTTGACAATGGATGTGTGGGTGACAAGTAGGCATCGGTCTGAGCTGAACAGCTCTGACATGGGCTTGAAAAGGGTAGGAATACCACTTCTCTAACTGAAGCTGCAAAAAACTGCATTGGTGGGAACCACACAGTCCATCCCTGCAGGTAGAGGTGAAGTAGTTTCAATGGTGCCCCCCGGCATGGGGAGAGCTGGCATGGGTAGCTGGAAGGACAAGTTGATGCACGTTGGCTTCTCTGAGACCCCCTTGGTGGCAGAGGTCTGGGAAGGCTTTCTCAGATCACAGGATGGCGAAGCTCCCTGGTCTATGAGCTTGCCAGTTTTTGGATGACGGCTCCTCTTTTCTGACTAGGGAAACAGAAAGCAATGGGTGTTGCTGGTTTTGGGTAAAAGCCCTTTGAGATTTTTCCTTGCCTTTCAGGCATACAGATAGGCAGCACAGGGATACAGTATATCAAGATACAAGAAGGCTTCACCTGTGCCACGACATTCTTGCACTTTCTGCCAGAAAGCACAGGCTGAATGGTGGGCTCACTCTATGTAACTGGCCGATGACATCCTTCCAGTTTCTGTGCACTGATTCACTGACCACGACTCAGTTCAGAAAATGGGAGCTGGGCTTACAGCCTTCCTCTGGGTTCCTCTAAACCAAGGATGTGTCTTTCCAACCCCCAAAGGATTTCTGCACTCAAGCATGGGAAAATGCCTGTGGGAAGGGGGACTAAGAATGCAGTAAAGGATGCTGGATAACATGTCCACCTTGGGTTTTAATTCACTGCTCCTGCTTGCAGCTTCTCCAGCCACTGACATCCTCCTAGCATGCTTTTAACACATCTCCACCTTTTCTTGATCAGGATACCGATTTCTGGTGTTTCTTTGCTTCTGGAAAAGAACAAAATATCCCTGAGAAATAAATTACCATCATGGATTTTTTTTTTCTCTTTTTCCTTTTTACAGAAATTTCTTATTAATAACCTTCTCTCTTTTCATTTCACTTAAGGCCTTAAGTTGCTTTCCCTTGATGAGCTAGTTCAGTCTAAGCCATGCTTGGTTTACAAATACGAAAATAACAGGCACCTTACAGCTACCTACAATAACTAATTATTACTTTTAGAAACAGATCTGGTACACTGTGGTGGGAAGCATCCCCTTTTGCTCTTTTAACTGGTGAGGGGCAGTGGAGTAGCCCAGTGAATGCTCACATGCACAGAGAGGGAGGTAAGAGCCGTCTTCTCCAGGAGGATTGGCTGTGGCTCTTCCTGCACTGGTTTTGTACCAGTTGGGTGTGCCAAGAACTGGCTCGCATTCAGATTACGGTGTCTGCCAGCCATCGGCTAAGCTTCTTTGCTCCTCCATCATTTTCATTTCACTCAGAGCCAAGAGACAAATATGAAGGCTGATGGGCTAGAGGCTCACTTTCAGCTCGCCTTTGGCAACAAGGAGTTGGTGAAAGGGATGGTGGGGTGGATTTGAGAGAATGTATTCCCGGTTTAATAGCCCTTCATTATAGCTAAGCCTTTTGCCTAAATGGCAGTTTGGCTCCCATCTCCTGAACGCTGCTCCCTTGCATTAGACTTTTTATACAAGCTGTAATTATAGTTGCAAGCTCTGCTTTTATTTTATGGGAGCTGAGGTAAACCTGTCCAATGTCACAAATGTTGATCCTCAAGTACAGCCACATCTGTGAGGCAATGTCCCTGAACAGCGGGATCTGATGGATGAGTCACAGCGAAGGCCTGCTGGTTTCCTCATTAGCCCTGCCTACTCTCAGGACTGATCTCTCTCATAGGTAATTTTAAGCAGCCATCCTGCTGCTCTCCTGCCTCTTCCCTTTGCCTCGGCTTGTCAGGATTAGACAGTTTAACCAGTGACCCCAGTTGTCATCAATCTCAATATTGAACGCACCGAGATAATACAGGCAATTCTCTGCTCTGTGAAGACAGGCATTTATGAAGTATTTGTGAAGCCATTTTAACTAAAGAAGACAGACAGCTCTATTTCATGCCTAATATTGCCTGACAGGTGTGGACACACCCTGGGATAACTCTCTTGTCATCCTGACTAGAAGGTCAAGAGTCTACATTTGACAGAGAGAATTGCCTTTGGCACTCTGACACAAAACTGAAAACACAGCAGCATGCAGAAAAAAAACCAAAAACCAGAAAACACAACAAACCCCTCTGTAAACCAGATGTGCCAGATTTAAGACTTCTCAGAGCTTAATTCCTTTTAAATTTTGTAGCTCCTCTTTGAAGATTATCCATGGACTCAACACCAGGCTAAACCAGAAAGTTTAGCTTTTGTTCTTCTATTAGCCATTATCAGCTTACTGTTTTAAACATCTCAGGCATGGTGGGCAGTGGCTCTCTCTCCACTACGCTCCTCTTTTCTCCTTTCCTCCCCATCCAGCAACACCCATCTCCTCCTCTCTCCTCTACTCTCCTTCCTTCTTTTTCATGCTTTCCCTAGGGATCTGTATGGAATACCACCCTGTGCTTCCCTGGCATGCCCAGAATGTATCAGAATTCCACTGTGGAAGAAGAGAGCAGGAGCTGGCTTCTATCACAGCAGCAGCACTGCTCTGACACCTTCGTGGCTTTGGGAGGAGATCTCAATCCCACCAGGTTAAGGACGGTGGGCTCCAACAGAAAGTTCACCAAGAGCTCAAGAGCTCAGTAGTGGGGCTGTAAGACATATCAGGAAATAGTCTAAGCTCTTGGGCAGTGCACATTTCAGCAGCTAAATCTGAGCCCACTCCATTGGCATGTGTCAGACCCAGGAGGAAATGTAATTTCCTGCTGAGGTAGTAAAAATGATTCTTATATACAAATTTTTCTTGATTTTAATGCAAATGAGGTTTTATATTTGTTAATAAAAAGTAGACACATCATTGCTTCAGATTTGTGCAGAGGAGAGTTACATGTTAATAGCCAAGAATCAGACAATTTCTTTGCAAGGAAGAAGTGGGAATGAGTAGTCTTTACCATGGGGTTTATGAGAAGAGCTTTGCCAGTGTATGCAGTAGATTTAGAAAAAAACTACTTGGGCTTTTCCTTCTCTTTTCCATAGCAAATGCTGCAAGTTACAGAACCCAACAGCCAGCTTTTGTACTACTGCTTCCACACTGAAAGGGCACATTCAGAGATGCTGCAGCGATCAACCATGGCCAGCCCATACTTGTGGCTCCTTTTTGAGGCCAACCTACTGCTGCTTTCAAAGGCTGAATGGTTTCCAGGAGGTTCACACCAACCCAGGCAGTGTAAGGGGGAAAGAGGGAGGAAACCTCAGTGTTTCCTTGCTTTCATTTAAGTTCATGCTGCCTTGTCATACAAAACACTTGAGGTGGTGTAACTGGAAAGACCCCTGTGGAGAACAGAGCTGGAGGTAACCCTGCTTTGACTGGCTTGTGGCTGTGGAAATCCAGCTTCAGCAGGTGCCACTGGATGGTGCTGTATGGAAGGTTGCTGGAGCAGTTGGGTTCGCTGCTGATCTGAGGTTCAACAGCTTCTGTTTTCAAACTCGTGATCTTTCCTTTAGACATGCAGAGCAATGTGCATGGAGTCTGTGGGCATCTGCAGGGCTCTCTGGCAGTAAGTCCTGTGTCTCGCCCCACATTCCTAGCTGTGGGCAGCCTTGAAGGAATCCTGAAAGCACAGAAGAGTATTGCTGGCAGCAGAGCACAAACAGGCACACCCAGCACTCACTGAAAACCAAGGATGGAAGAAGTTTGTTTGACAATGACCTGGCAGACCCACTGTTCCACCAAGGCTGCTTAACGTAGTCCTTGCAGTTTGCTCTCCATTCCAATAACTTCCTCTTCTCCAGGGACAAAGAATAAGAACTGATGGAAAGAGGTGTCACATAGGCCAGGGTAAAGAGGGAATGGCTGGATCACCCCTCTTCTTGGGGCTCAAAGCCCCAAGCAAGACATCTCCAGGCTCCAAAGTAGGCAGCAGTACTTCACAGCTGGGGGTCCTCACACATCCTTATCCTCAGGGTCCCTTGCCCGGTCCACTTTGCATGGCCTGTCAGGATTTTATTTCACACTGTTTAACTATTACAGCCTCCAGCATTCAGTTTTTCCCATAGTACTGCATTATTTTTTCAACAGATCTGGTCCTTTACTCACCATCTAAGATTTGTGAACATTTTACTACTCTTACTCTACAAAAACGTCCCTCTTTGTTCTGAGGTGAGATTATTTGCACTGGATCCCTGTGCAGTTCTGAGAGAGAGATGTAGATTTCTGCCTGGGAGCACAGCAGATTCCCTCCAGGTTCAACTGGCAACATGCCTATCAGTCGAGGAGTGGCAGTACTTTATACGATGGGCACTCTCCACCTTGTGTCCACCTATGAGTTGTACTGTGGCCATGGCTGTGTGTCTCGGCAGCACAGGTGTGTTCCTGATGTGTGTGAAGCATTGCTAAGGACAGGCAGGACAGAGTCTCTTGCCCACAGGCGATCTTGATGGCAAGAGAGATATGTAAGTTAAGTCCTGCAGAGCTGGTCCTTAGTGGCACCTGGTTCACCCCTTCATCAGTCAGCCCTTCTCAACAGCACTCCAGGCCGTAGCTGTTGCATTCAGACCCCATCATGGCTTAGGTTGAGAAGGAGCTGGGGTTCATCCCTGCAAGGGGTCTGGGAAAGCAAGATTTATGTAAGTTTTGAGGGCTTTTCTTTCTAGAAATAGCTATACAAAATCAATCACTGGAGTGCATATACCCTTAGGAGACTTCATAACAGCAACATCCCTGCAATGTTCCCCCTCCTTCTAACAACAGTGGAAACTGTGGCTCCAGGACACAGCAAGCACAGGACATAGCTCACCACGCAGGACCTGTTTGCCACATGACCAGATCGTGTTCTTGGTGCTATCTGCCTTTCCAAGACAAGGGTAATGAAAGTACACAGCTGATTTTGAGATACCATGTGGTCACTAAAATGCAATTTCATTATTTTTTGAATTATCAGTAGCTTAGGTGAGGGCCAGTACAACACCAGAGCAGCCGCACAGGGCGGGGAGGGCGTGTCTTGGCTCTGCCAGCTGCAGGTTGGCATGACTTCCAACACCAACCCCAAGTGCATTGATGTTATTGCGAGAAAGACAGTCTACAAACAAGAAAAGAAAAATTTAACCAAGGATTTACCAAGTGTCATTAATTCATTGACAAAATTGTTTCTCTGAGGCTTAGTGGAGTCCAACTGGAAAAGCCCATCCTTTTGTAAATCACCATACTTAATAACCTGCAGCCTGGGCCATGGCTACCCTGGGAACACATGCTTGGAGAGCACCTGGCAGCTTGCTCCTGAGCAGGCAGGAACGCAGTCTTCCTTACAGCCTGTGGGTACAGGGTAGGAGAAACTCCAGGAGATCCCAGTCCTGGTTTGCATCAGTTTTACAACTTAAGAAGGCAGGTTACTTGCAGTAAAGCAATGCAGCAGAGTTCAAATAGACAGCGTTTTTAGATCTCTCGTGGATAAATTAATAAAACATCAAATTAATTTAGCTAGAAATAGGGCAGCAATCACAAGCTAAAGTTTACCACAATGATTTGCAGTACAGTAACAAACAGGAAGCTTAATCATAGCTGTACATCTCTATTTCCCCACAAAAAATGCTATGCCCTCTTCTCATCATAGATAGTTCATAACTGATTGTGCTTGTAAGTAATGATGGTTTTCCTCTAATAATGAAATCTCTGTTAAATCCCACATGCTCTACTCAGCAGTGCACATTTCATCCCATGGGGTAACCCTGGCACAAAGAACATTGTGCCAGATTCCCCCAGGTGCAAATGGGCACAGCTCCTTTCCAGTCAGTGGAGTAACCAGCCTGATGTTGCTTACGTGATGTTTGCTGACTGCAAAGAGCTCAGCCTCTTAGGGATGTGTGACTGACTCGGGAATCAGAAAAACTTTTCTGTTAAAATTAGTTGGTGTACTCAGTAGCATCTGGCTGAGGGGGATAAGAGCATTCCTTTCTCACTACATAAAAACCTTCTTCACTGAATGCATTAATCATTCTTATCAGCATCCCTTTTGTTCCTGGGCTACAAGGCTATTTGAACTAAAAGCTTCTCAAGTCCAAATCCATTCCAAGTGATGAGTATCTTCAAGGTCATAAATTAATGCAAGCAATTGCTACACTTATCTACATGAAAGTCTTCAGTGGAGGAAAAGTGACCCCGAGAGAGAGAATAACATTTGTCTGACCTCTCTGCAACCTCCTTGGCAGATAAAGATCTTATAAACAGGCAATTTTGTAGCAGATAGAGAAAAATTAGCATTTTCCTTGTTATAAAGAGGATGATGGTTGAAAACTGGACTAAAATATCTTTGCTTTCTAGCTTGCTAACATTGGCCCACAGAGAAACCATTGTACAGAAAACCAACTAGTGACTATTCTGATATCTTCAAGTGCATTTCTAATTTCCTTTATCTGTGATTATCACATATATTTTGATATTTACTGCAGCTGTTTGCTTTGTCACTTGTGGACTATTTTGAGAGAGTAACCCATTATTGAGCACATATGCCCAAGTACCAAGCTTCCAAGATATGCTGAGGTGGGAGTCACTGATGTTAGATATGAAACAGAGGATATGTATTACTATACACACATGTATGTATGTGTACATGTGTGCTTATGCCAGGCTTACAGCTGGTGACTCTGGAGGGATGGGGTACTGGCTGCTGTGAGGCAGCTACATGGTTTTACTTACATTTTAGGGGTGAAACAGGCACTTGGAATGCCCCTGGCTCAGGGTGCAAGGCAGTCAACCTTACCTCTACTGCTGGCAAAAATAGGTGGCAAGAAGATTTCCATGATGGCATCACAAAATCAAACCGTGAAGAAAAATCAGGCTAAGTTCATCCCATGCTATAAAGCTAATGGAGTATCTTCAGAGAAGAAGAGAAAATTGAAATATAAGGGGTTTTATCCTCATTTAGGTATTCACTGTTTTACTGCAATTTATTTATCTCACTGGTATACATAGATATGTGTACAAACACGTGTATGCACATATAAAAGCTACATAAAGAGAACCACCTGGGTTCAATATATTTCATATAATTACTTAATAAAATAGTTTAGGAAATGGATAATTTAAATACTGGTTGGCAAAAAAAAAAAGTTATGAAAAACACAAATATTTTTACAAGTTCAAGCTTTTCCATTACCTACTTTAAAATATTAAAAGCCCCACAGTAATTGCTAAAGAGTGCAGATATGACAGAAAAGTTAAACTTCTGTATGCAAAATGGTTTACATGGAGAAAGCACGTGCATGCTCTAAAGTAAAAACACTGTTAGACTTTTAGAAAGATTAATTGAAACTTCAGCCTCAAGGTCAGCTTTGAATACCCCAATGGAATCAGATACTTCTTATCAACTCCTAAATGCAGGCAAACAAATGTCAGCTGCTTGTTTTAATTTACTTTCCAGGGATAAATATCCGACTCACAGATCTTCCCATCCCACTGGCAAGTTCAGACAATGGTAACCAGCATGCATACTTGACATAGTTTTGCATTAATACAACACATCCTATAAGCATAGCCATACAAACTTTCTTGCCTTTGCACGGTATCATGTTACCCAGCAAATCACGTAGAGATCTGGCAAGGAAATTTGACATAATTTTCTTGAAAAAATTCTAGAATAAAATATTTCCATTCTTTTCAGGTGAGGGAATTTATATTGTCTTGAATAAATCTTTGGGCTGTTTTAAAGTTCTATTTAAATACATAAATACCTGGGTTTACTTATCCAACACTTGCCATCTCTTTGGCAGAAAAATTGCAACACTGAGACATGTAATGAGTTTTATGCTTCTAAAATCTCGTTAATTCCTATTAGTACTTGCAATATATATTCCTTACTCACCTCCCCCCAAATTAAAACTGTTTCTATAAGGTTCACAAAGGCTGCTGTCCCCACGTCTAGTCCTGCTGCTCCGCCCAGCCACAGTGCCCACCAGTTTCTGCAGGATAAACAAAGACAAGTCTCAGAGCTGGGTAAGGATTGGAAACTCTGAGTCCTACCCCATACCTAGGTATTTCCACAGCAAGAGGGTGCATATGCACGTTCCCGTGTGGGGCAATGCCAAGAAGTATTCCTGCCTAGTCCAAGGCTAAGGGAATTATCTCAGAGCAGGCTTTAATCATGGAAATCCATGGGCACAATCTCATAGGAGGTCCCAACACAATCTGCTGTAGAAACAAACTAAGGATTTCCCCAGGAGCGCTTTGTCCTGAGCAACCAGAAAGCTAAGGCATGGCTGGCATCCCAGGTCCCAAGGACATGTCAGCCATAGAGTTCTGGGGTCCAGGGCAGGCAGCAGACCAGTTAGTTCCCAGACTAATTGCAGAAGTTAGAGTTCATTCTAGAGGAAACTTGCAGAACTTTTTGAGAAAAAAATTTATCACGAAACACAATAACATAAGGAGATCAAACAGAAGGTCATAGTGACTCCTGGAAGCCAGTACCTATTTGCACAGGCAAATGAGCAAGCAGGAAGGTCACTGTCTGAGTAAGAATCACAGAATATGCCGAGTTGGAAGGGACCTCCAAGGATCATTGAGTCTAACCCTTAGCCCTGCATGGCCTTAAATTTAGCAGGATTAACAGGTCCTAGGTAGCATTGAACACAGCCATGAGGTTTGTTCATCCCTAGGCTTTACTCTAGCAGAAACCTCAAAGCAGATGAAACTATTTTCCCTTTTATCTAATTTATCATACTGCAGTACCCAGAACCATCCTGCAGAGAGCCCTAAAGAACCTATTCTCCAAAATTATCTTACACATTGCATAAACTTATTTTCTGAACCGTCTTTAAGCACTATGAATAATTGGGATATACACTTTTTTATCGACAACACAACTCCCTTTACAGCTACTCAACCACCACGTTCCTTGTGAAGTAAGAAGTGTTACAATCAGGAACTATTTTACAACCCAGTGTGTTGAGGCAATGGGACAAACCTACAAGGTGAGTAGGAGCTGCCTCAGTAGCCCATCGAGCCAAATGTCTGGTCAGGGCACTCCTGACACACTGAAAGCTGAGAGATGCAAAGCACTCTCCAAAGTCACTGTGAATCTGAGAAAGCTTAAAACACTTAGTTGCAAGTCCTGCAATAGATCTCAATCCCCCACTTTGGATAACCCCATAACATGCCTCATCCTTGAAATAAAGCAGAGATTGCTACTCAGCCCTACTTCCCTACTGGGAAGGTCATTTGGGGTAAGATACCCAAGTTCACCATTGCTGCCCTGAGCCTGACTTCTTCACTGAAATGACATGCAGGAGCTCATTGTTTTTAGAAGATGAAGCAGCAGAGGAAGTTTAAGTAATAAGGTGCTTTTTATATGTTTTTTTCCTTCTTCCTACTCTACGTACAGTAACCTCAAACCTGAAGGAGGGTCCTAACTGAAGTGTTCTTACCCAGGAATTGCCAATCCCCCAGGTGAAGGTAGAGAAAATATGAAGTAAAACAACTAGTTAATTAGGACATGATAAAAGGAAGCTGGTAGAACCTCCAAAGCCCCTGTGTAAATCAACAATGTGAGGATACTTCATGCAAGACCCTAAAAATGAATCTGAAATGAGTATCTTTTAATCCTTCACTTTTCCTTAACTTCTTCTAGTTTAGCGGTTGGAAGCCAAACTATGTTATTCTTCTATGAAGAAGGAACAGAGTACTTTCTTTACTCCAGATCTTGCTGTTGGCCAGATCAGAGACGAGGGGAAACGTCCCATCTCAGTGCATGAGAGGGGAAGCACATGTTCTTCCCCTCTCACAGGCCAAGTAGCATAAAAAGGGGCTAAGTCTCCAGCTCAGTAGCAGTCTGGACATGTTGATCTCAATCTTTTTTTCCCTGAGAGCTATTTTTAAACTAGTCTCTAAGTAGCTTCTCTTTTCTTTGATACTTAATTAGTTCCAATTAAAACAGACTACATTTAAGTAGTATACATTGAAGTTTGATGAGCAACATTCAAAATACAGTAAATAATAAAAAAGAATTGCATTTACACTGAAATATATGTGCCCTTTTTATCTCCTTAAGATTTCCAAAGGGATTTGGGTTATGAATCACAAACGTTCCCCTCAGCACTAGGGTTTTATGAGTCAGAAAGATAGTCATCATTAATCACTTCTCTAGCATTTTTAACAAGGTGGTTCCTGCTTGTTGCATGTTTTCATTCACATCACTCATTTACATAGCATAAAAGGTGTGCCTAGCACTTTAGAGACAACTAAGACAAAAATCTTTGCTTTGTAGTGTTTATGGCTGTTGTAAGATCACACAGAACAAGAAAAGATTCCCTTTGTGAATGAAAAAAAAAAAATTGTAACCATAACTATGGCAAAGTATTTTTTTTTCATGCCGTGAGATACATTTGCATTTCTGTATTTCCATATCATTGTTATATGGTTCCTACCTTTACTACTCACCATTTTAAGCAGACAGATATTTACACACTTCACTTAAGACTTCAATACTATCGTAACCATGACAGTGTTTTGTGCTCTCCCCCCTCTCAAAGGAATACAAATCACTGTTTCAGTGTTAGGCTGTTTCGAGGGTGGGGGAAGGCAGTTCTCCACTGAACACTTAAACTACTTGCATCAGCATGTCTTTTAAGAAGCAGTAACGGAGATGCCAAAGTTGCTGTAACCTGACTGGCTACTTAAAAGAAAAAAAATATCTGGAAATGAAATACATTTTCCACTCTTAAAAAAAAAAAAAAAAGAGAGATAAGATACCTATTTCATGACTGCCACTTAGTTCAGTATATTTAAGCAAAGAATAAGGAAGGTTTCATTTGTTTTTCCTAGCAGAGTTTATCAGTCATCTTCTTATCCTCCTCTATACACTGAAAAAGACCATCATAACATAACTACCTCTGCACTCCATGAAAAAACTGTATATGCTCACATGTTTTTTCAGGACTTCGCTCATGCTTTCCTCTGAGTATCACAGCTGTTATTTTGGACTTCAGTGCCACAGATGAATGAATCAGCCCACAAGAGAGACCAGAGTTATGAAACAACTGTGAAAACAATGCAATTAAGGACACAGTTTCAGCAGTACTCTGTCACAAGCTGTTTATTAGAACTTCACTTTGACAATAAATAAGGTATTTCCCAAGCAATCAAAATGTAATTATTTAGAAAGTTAAACAACGCAAGTTTTCACAATGCAATTTTTTATATATACATAATTTACTGTATTTTCAACACCAGTTCATCAGGAGCTGTACAACAGTAGGACGTGTGTTTTTTAAATTCACACAGCAGGAGACTACCAAAACACGTCTTTCATCTGGAAACTGTGTGTGTAAAAATAATCGCAAACCCTATCGGCTTCAGGTTGGATAGACCAACGGTTACGAACAAATCCCTCTGTCCATTAGACCAGCTGCTGAATTCCACTTTGGAAGTATGGCTCACCCAGGAGAAATAGTGGCTTTTTAGAGTTACAGTTTTAAGGGACGAGTAAGCTGCTCAATTCCAACAGTATGACGTAAACATCTGTAGTTCACGGAGCTACTGCACTACCTGTTCTGCTCTCAAGATTAGTGGCACAGGGCAAACTTCTGTAAAGAATGATCATTTTCACTGTCGTGTATCTCTAATAGTAAGTACAAACTTTGCACTTAAATGTACTGTTAACTACGAAAACATCTTTCGGTTTTGGTCACGTGAATTAGCATTTCTTCGCTTAAATACCCAAGACATTTAATATGCCTCAATAATGCTTTTAAGGGTTTGACATTCAAAATTAACTTCAAAAGAATGTTCCTGTTAAATAAAGCACCAAAATTTCCCCATGTGTTTATTCCTTAAAGAAAGTCTGTGAAATACTAGCTTTTTTTTTTTTACACATTAGTTCTGCTAAGTGTTGTCATTTTAAAATAAAATTTAATTCTTATGGTTTGATCAAAACCATGTTTACAAAGTAAGCTTTACATATTCTGTGCAACATCCCATTTTCTTTAAGTGCAGAGGTACAGGTCTCAAAGTTACGCAGCTGCAATCGAGTTATCATCTGCTTGGCGACCCTGAGGCTTTAAGAAAATAAAAACAGAGAATTAAAAAAAAACTAGACCACCCAAACTACCCCCTGTACAAAAAAAAACCCCAAAAAACCCCAAAACAAACACCCACAAAAAACAAACCCAAACAAACAAACAACAACAACCAGAAAAGGCTAAGGCTACTAGCAAACTAGTGCAATACACTGTGTTATCAATGTAGCTCTGATCCACAACTGTAGCATTAAGCTTATCCTTACTTCTAAACGTTTCCAATAGCAGCACAAACACAGAGGACATCCAGCTGAAATTTCAGTTGGGCCCAGTGAGTACTTGGTAAAGGCCTCATCTCCTTAACTGCCCTGTTAAATGCCTCCTCCATACACATCTGGACAGCTTAGCACAAAGCCTGGCTGATCAGAGTTCTGAGCTTTACTGCAGTACAGAAAGCTGAAAATTATCAACGCCTAAAACAGGAATGAGAGTGACAGTTTCTTGAAGGAATTTAAAGCAACACCACTAGAGATGGGAGAGAGTAAGGAGGAAGTTTTAAAGAAGAAAAGGCATCCTTACAATAAGGTTTTATGAAGTCTTGACAACTCCAAAGCAAAATCAAAAAATTCTGAAGCCTGAGAGAGTCCACAGGAGTGTTCTGAACACCACACTTTTGAGGGTAAATGCCTTTTCTATTTACTTAGGGGGACCCCTTGACAACCAATCTGGAAGAGCTACTGATGGGCAGCATAAGCAAAAAGTAAGTTCTGCCTATCTGTTTTGGTTAAAACAAAATTGAAAGAATGCCAGGCCCGTTTCTTAGAAACATGATTAAAGATGTCTGGACAAGTCCATTTCAAATCATACAAACAAACTCTTCAAGGCTCCGTCACTGTTAAGAGTCTGAATAAAAAGAACCAAATATTCTGGATACAGCAGCAGTGGAATGAGACAGCATTGTTTTAGGCAACTGGATTTAAATGATTCTTAAAAAGTCAAAAGACCACTATGATCTGTTTTTCATGGCATGACTGAACTGTCTTCAGAGTTGTATCACTTATGAAAAAATCTAGACTGAGTGATTCAATGACAGAATGTGTTTTTAGGAGTTATTTAGGGAGGTGTGGGATGCTGCAGTGTCTCTCAACCTAGTCATATGGGTTGCTCAAACACTTCTTTTTTCAGAAGTGCTAGAAATTATGGTATTAAAAGTATTTCATTATATTTAGCTCACCCCATTATGCTCAACATAAAAGCAACTTTAAAACTCATTTAACAGAGCAAGAAATGGAACAAAACAACAGGGACAGGACAAGCACATTCAGCTCATTCACCTAGTGGTGACTGAATACGTATTGCACTGAAACAGATTTCCTAAAGACTTTGGCTGACAACATCAGGGTACAACAACATGAGATTTTTCAAAGCAAGTAATTCTGTTACAAGGTGGCTGCTCTGATCTGCCTAGAAACACTTGGATTATACGGTTGGAGTGGTTGTCCCCAAAACCTGAGGAGCCCCAAGGAGAGCCTTTAAATACAAGCCACTTCCCACAGCCTTACCTTTACAAAAATGTGTGTCGGGATGAATCGTCTGAGCAACTGATTGGTGAAGTTTGGGAATCGTATCAAGTTAACGTGAAGAGAAGGTAACTGCTGATATCCAGCCATCAGAGGATAGAAGTTATATAACATTTCCTGCTGCGTGCCAGGAAGGATTCTTAATCGGATCTTAAAAAAAAAAGAAAAAGAAAGCCACAAACATGGGTGTTCTGCATCCAAAAGCAGTCCCCTGGTTACTGTCTACTTATGCAATGGTTACTTTCTGATGCTGGACAGAATGTAAATAATTGCCTATTCTAATTTAAACTACTGCTTCTACACAGAAACACCACATTATCCATAAACAACATGACTAACAGCTCCTAGTCAGGCTTCCATTTAGCCCTTTTTCAAAGGGAGTCTGCATCCCCATATTCTTCTAGACAGAATTTACCATACTTAAAACACCTAAAAAACAATGAGTTTGTCCTCTCTGCACATCAGCGGAAGTCTAATCAATTTATTCTTCACTACCAGATAAGCCCAGCAGGATCAGTAGATATGACAGTTTTGTACCTGTTTAAGGCCAGAGAACATGAAGGCATCACTGGGTTCCACGGACACCTCCACATCCTGGACTAGGTTGGTTTTATTTCGCAGGTGATACCTGACAGGTAAGGATTCTCGGACTCGACCGAATGACGGCAGATCTTTGGAAAGAAAGTAAGGAATCTCAAATACAAAGTGCATTTCAAGTTCCATTAGAAAAAAAAAAAGTCTGATGCAAAAAGCAATGAAAAGTTTGAAGAAAAAGGATACAATAACTAGGCATATAAAGCATTTCTGACAAGTTTTTTTAGAAACAGGTTAAAGAACAGATCACAACTTCATTACAATTTTCCAGTAACACTTCCTCAATATCCAGTTACAAACCTCCTAACTGCTAACGCTGCCCAAGAATAATAACTAGGAAGTCACTTTGGATGCTGCTGGGTATTTTCAGCTTACCAAAATCTAATCAGATACTGTCAGGAAGCTTCTTGAAAATAGAATAGGATGGTGGAAGAACCTCAGTAAAAATTAAACCAAACCAAGGAAAGCATCAGAATTATGTGTGTTCAGTGAGCATTTCAGTCTCCCTATGTTCTTGTGCAGGTGAAATGCTAGAAGACAAACAGTTCACCTGCCCACAAGTTTCTTCAACTCTCTAGGCTGTTTTTTTCCTGGGATGCAGCCAAGGTGTGCGTGGATGGAACAATTGTTGCCATAGGCATTTAGAGAAACCTACTGGGAAGGCAGCATCAGCAGAGGTAAGTCCAGCCTCTGTGCTGTCATGTAATACAAGTCAATGTAATACATGTCAATCCACTGACAGTTTTTAGGAGAAAACACTCATGTAACTAGCTTCCTGCTCTTCCCTTCAAGGGGGAAAAGAAGGGTAAGGCTTGAGGCATCACCTAATTGATGATATGGTTTATTTCACTAGCCCCACAATATCCAGCACTAGTTTTCTGCCTTTTGCTACAGTGAGTGCAAGCTCTGAGTCCTGTAAAAAATTTTGGCAGTCCTAAAAATTCTAACTGGGACATATATGTTGCCAAATTAACATTACCTGCATTAACATGGAGGGGAATGCTCTCTACAATCACATGTGGTAGAGTGATGACTGTGCTAACAACAGGTACACTTTCCACAGGTGAACTTCTGCAGGAAAAAGTCAAATGCAGACCCATGTTGAATACTATATAGCATAAAGTTTCAAGTAAGTACACCAAAAGAACATCATTATATGTGACTAAATTAATATTTTAGTAGCTTCAAAGAAATTAGTAGCTTCAGTGGTGGGAAGAAAAAACAGAAATACACAAGTATTTCATGACTGGAGAAGACAGGGAGTAGAAGGTGACAAAATAGCTTTGT